ATAAGGGAATAGCAAAAAAGTAGTTATATACATTCATTTGTATAAATTTAATCAGACCATTTATTGATATAAAATATCATAAAATTATAAAAGCAGCAATCTCTTGCTTTTCTTAATTTCATCACTTTTTCTGTTTAATATTTCAACTCGACATTATAAAATTTTTATTAAAAATGAAACAAGTATCTAAAATATCTAAAAAACTAAATCTAAAATATTTAAAACAAAATGTAACAAGAAAACAAATATCTAAAAAAGAAATACCTGTGGAAGTCTGAGAAAGAATTATCCAATTGAGGGAGTTGAACTTTTCAACACAAGAAATAGGGATGAAATTTGATATTGGGTCTTCAATAGTATCTAAAACTTCTAAAAGAGAAGAGGAAACAGGAGAGGTAAAGATCGAGAAAAATTTGGACATTCACGAATTCTATCACCTGATGATATAAAAGATGTACTTGATATATTATCTTCAGAAAAAGGCTCAATAGCAGTTAAGATCCACTCAATGTATGTGGCTAAAACAGGCAAACATATTTCAGTAGAAACTATACAAAATATACTAAAAAGGTGTGGGTATAAAGTTAGGATTAAACCTAGAAAGCCTGCAATAGATGAAAAAACCAGATTAGAATGTCTTGCTTTTGCCAGAGAGCATATTAACTAGACTCCTGATGATTGGAAAAAGGTTATTTTTTCTGATAAAAGCAAATTCGTACTTTTTGGGTCTAATTTTCGTAAATTTTGCTAGAGAAAAAAGAGAGATAAGTTAGAATGTGCTTATATTAATCAGACCAAAAAATTTGGAGGTGGAAGCATAATGGTTTGGAGTTGCATAACTTCGTGTAGTGTTGGTGAGATATGCTATATCAAAACTCATCTGGATAATGAAAGTTATCGTGTAATTCTAGCCAAAGATCTTTTTGGCACCTTACTCGAACATAACTTGGAGCTTAAAGATATTATTTTTCAATATGATGGGAACTCAAAACACAGAGTAGCAGATACAAAAGACTAGATTAATCAAAAAAATATTAATACTCTTAAGTGGCCCCCTTATTCTCCTGATTTGAGCCTAATAGAAAATATTTGGAGTGAGGTAAAAAGATGTTTAGAAGAGCGTCTAGAAGAGCAGCAGCAAGAACCAGCCACAAAAAATGAAAAGCTAAATAAATTGTGGAAAATGGTAGAAGAAGAATAGAAAAAAATTGATATTAATTATATTATCAGTCTTTATGATTCTATACCCTGCAGAATAGCTGCTATGATTGCAAATAATGGTCTTTACACAGATTTCTAATACATGTAAATGGCCATATAGATGGCCCAGGTATATTACATTCCACTAATTAAAAAAATTAAATTATACCTGGGTACAAATTTTTAAACTCTGCGGAATTCCTAGTATTCGGTGAATTCTTGGTATCTGAAGAATAATAAAGGAAAAATACTTCAAGGAATAATTAGAATAACGAAAATAAGTAGAATTCTTAGAATTCCATTATATGTAAAATTAAATATATAAAGATTTTTTCTCCTGAAATAAAGAGTCTTAACTTCAAAGTCTTTATAGCAGAAGTGCCCAAGTAGTATTTCCCTTACAAAAATAAAAGTATTATTTATGTTTGCTTAATCTATTACTATCGCTATCGTAAAAAGCTGTTATCAAAAAAAGAATCTTATATATGATCTTATTGATGTTGTAATTACTTGTGACCTCATAGTAAGACATTCATCTGATTGGTTAGATTTGGTAGATCTACCTGTGATTGCCCGTGATAATTAACCAATCAAAATACATAATTTTATTAATACTACAATACTAGAAACGAAACAAACCTTCGAATAAAAA